TCTTGTAAAGCTGGCATTCTATCATACATTTCATAAAATATTATCATCTTTTGGAGCTCAATGATTGTAGAACATATATGATATCTGAGGAAATACAGCTACACACACTTCTGGCTCTCAATGAGACTAGAAATTTAAGACCTAAATTATTAACTAATAAATGGGTAAATAATATATTCCACCTCAATATTGAAATTCCCAAGGATCAAAGTAGTGAAGCCTCAAAAGTCTGATTTCTTAATTGGATCATCAAGTTGATTTGAAGTTTATCATCATTCACGCTAAGTTACAAGAAGAAGCCAACGAGAGACCAACCCATAAGAACCAAGAGCCAAGCAACCCCTGATACAAAGTGACCAAAGCAATCTCAAGGTTAAGTTATGCAATAGACATGTTGGGAACAAAGGGAGGTGAAGTTTCATGCCATTTCTAAAGCCACCATCATAATATGGTGCAAAGAAGCAATCTGTGGTTGTGTTAGTCCCACTGGGACAGTTGCAAATAAATGAATTCAAATATCTAGTGTACCCACATGCTCCATGGCTTCTTTCACAAGCAAGACATGAGCTGGGGAGGTCAACGTTGATAGTACTAATAGGCCTGCATGAATTCAGAAGACTGCAAATTGTTGTTCCTTGATCACAGAGAAACTTGGAATTGTGAATGGAGGATGAATTTGTGGAATAGCATAGGAGAATAAAGATGGTTCTTTCATCAAACGTGAATGGTGCATTCCAATCTAAGCTAAAGCCCTTTCTAGGAATAGTACTATAGCAACTTGACATGGTGGGATCTGAGATGTATATGACTTGTCTTTTGTAGTCTATTGAGGTTACAGTATATGACCGTGAGTCATGAGTGAGTGGTGAAGGTGAGCTTTTGTTGGTTACAAGTTATATACGGTTGGAAGCGAGGATCGCCATAACCAGAGACACTGCCAAATGGGTACCTAAGAATCTCATTGCCACATGCTCTTCGACAGATTTGAGCAGAGGTCAAAATGGGAAGAAGATGGAAAAGGAAAATGGAGAGAAGACAAATTGAAGCATATCTAGGTTCCAATGATTCTCAAGAGGAAGGGGGAAAGAGTTGAAGAAAGAAGAACAAAAGTTTGGCTAAAAAATTTGATACTGATATCATTTGCAATGCTGAATCAGTGAGCTAGCTAGCTAACTGGTAGATGAAAATTGCCTTTTTGGGGAGTGAAACTGAAGTGGAGGAAGCAAGGAGGAGCCTACGGTTTTGTTATTTATGGATTTGTTCAATTCTTTCAGTGGAAGGAAGCTGAAGAGCATTTCAGTTCAATTTGTCTTTACTATTATTGGATGCCTTGGTTTCATAAGTCTTCCTCTCTATTCTATTTAAGTAGAATTGCATTATTCTGGTTTTCTATGGCTAGAATGAGGTGGAACTCTTTTTCGCTAGCTTACAATTTGGGTATGTTGATGAAAAGGACATGCTCTCTCTGTTTAAAAATGTAAGGTATTTTTAACTGAATTTTATTCCCAATAAAGTAGTTGCCTACTTTTTAACTAACGCTATCTTTTTATATTTACCCTTATTAAATACTTTACAATAGATATAAAGTCATTATCAATTGAGGTACTTTTGAAAAAAAGACAATAATTACATCTTAAAAGACTAAAAATGCTTTACATTTTTTAACATCTAACCCCTAAAAAAATATCTTATATTTTTTAATAGAGGAAGTATCAAATGGGGTAAAAGAGTAAATTATTCACGTCACATTTTACGTAAAAATATCAAGTCTCATTGAGTCACCAATCAAAATAAAAAGATTCCAGCACGCAATATGTCATTAATAATATGCCAAGAATTTTGAGTTTCTAAGTTTACTTTCATTTGCTGTATTACTTAATTTAGACATTTTAATGTTTATATTTAGAGGAAAACCTATATTGTTACTCTTACATATTTAAGATATTTGTTTTTAATTAACTCAAGGCATATTTTTTATGAATTATTTATTCTATAATAAGTTATTATTATAAATTATAATCCCTGACAAAAATCTTGACCGATTAGTCATAATATGTAAATATGTTGATTTTTCCCTTAAATATTTTTCTTTTTTTTTGCCAACATTTCTTTTTTTTCCTTGTTTGTTTCAGTTTTTTTGAAGAAAATTATCCATTTTTAAAAAATGAGAAAATTTATAATATTTTTTAAAATTTAAAATCATCAAAATCTAAAAAAAATTAAATTCCTAATTATTTTGATAAACTACAACAAGTAACTTCTAAAAATAATCAAATACAATAAATAAGAGAAAATGCTAATAAAAAATATAGTTATATATAAAACTATCATAAGATTTCAAAGGGAAGAATGACAATTGAAGGTTTGTAAAAAAAAAAAACTAATATATATAAATAAAACTTTTGAATTATAAATTCTTACAATTTTAGTTGTGAAAGGTTTTTAATAATTTTAAGGGCTTTTATTTATCATTCTCTCAATTTAAAAATTACAAAATAATAAACTAATTTTATGATTATAGTTAAATATAAAATAAATTATGTTTTCCATAAATTTTTTAAATAGTTACTTTAAACTTAAACTAATGTATCAACAAATTTTATCTCATTATGTGGAGCTGGATACATTGATTAAACTATGTCACTATGCTCTTTTTTTTTGGCAAAAAATGTCATTATTCTCGATTATTAATAAAGTGTTTAATAATATTGTTAATCAATATCACATTCAACAATTTCTTTAGACACAAACAAACACACAGTTGATATATAACGCGGTCTAGCACTAGGTTAGTTAACGTTCGAGGATAGGTGTGGAGCTAAGTTTGACCTTATCGATCTATAATGACAATATAATAATATATTATTAGTCACTGAAATATGCTGCTGGCTCTACTTTTCTGACAACACCCAGAGCACCTTCGATGAGGGCATGGCTCTCTTCGCTTCTTGAATAGCTCTGCCTTTCAAGGTCAACCTTTTTATGTCGACCAGTTCATGAGCATTTCTGGGCAAAGCCCAATCTTTGATGTTTGGATCCTTAATTAAATTAATTCCTTTGCAAGTTCTTCTGGGCTGTCAACATGTGTATATACCTACAAGTACTGGGCTGTATTTGATCTATTCTTGCCCAAGTCCTACTTAAATGTTGGGATGTGGCTCTAGACGAAGCCTGACAACTGTTTGATAAATTGTTGAATCATATGATCTTCTGGTCTCTGGGGATTCATCTACTTTGTTTCTAGCTAGCTAGGTCATGGAACAATTTTGACGGGACAAAGATGCCATCGGAGGTATAGGAGTGGGTATTTCTTGGAACACCTTCATCGTCCTTGTTAGTTGGGTAATTCTATTAATTGCCTCATCAAATAAGAAATTAACACACTTTGCTCACGCGAATTTATGAATTTGATATTAAACAATGATAACAAAACAGGGCTATCCGCGAATTTCCCCACTTGGGTGATGGAGTGGACAATGGACTCAACGTGCAAATAACTTTCTTCACCAACAAAACTTTGATTCAAGTCTGCATGCAGAAAATTGTTTTTGAGAAATACGATTCAGATAACCGTGTAACAAACAAAAACTAGCTAGCTAGTTCTTGCCCAAAGGGGAAAATCCCATTTTAAATTGTCTAACTTTTGAAATGTGGCGCCAGCAGCAGATTCCATCCACCATTCCGAATGTTCCTACCAACATTAACTAACTATCAAACTAGATCGTCCTAGCTACCCAATCATATATATTTGAATCTTCACTTTGGGTCTTGTATGTGTATATATATTTGACAGTGTAATAAGAGTTAGGAGTAGTTATCTAAGTGGTGACTGGATCATCCTGAATGAATCTGGAAAATATTTTGCTTCATTTTCCTTCGCCTCCTCATCTAGCCATTCCTGCAAAATCAAAACAAAAAAGATTTGCTAAAACATAGGTTTAATGCATTCTTTCCACACTTCACGAGTAATTTTACAATCTCTCAAGATGAGTTACACTGAAAAAAAAAAAAATAAACTTTGGATAAAGAAGAGATGGGATGGTCTTGATTTATTTTTTAGAATTAATGGAATCTAGAGAGATGCCAATATAAAAAGATGTCAAACTCTAATTGAAGTATCACAATCAGAAAATTAAAATTTTTTCCAAATATTTGCTATAATTAAAAAATATTATTAAAGATACTTCTAATTGTTGCTATTTTTATTTAAAAAAATAAAATTATTTATATTATAAATAAAGGTAGCTAAGTTTATTATGACTCTTTTACAAAGTATAAAGAAACTCTATGTCACTTTTTTTAACCCCCCCCACACACACAAATATTAAAAGATAAATATTTTCTGTTTTGTCTCCTTAAATTATTAAAAAAAAATGAAAACAGTATAAACAAGTGCATCATACAATTTAAATTTTAAAATGTAACAAGCTACCCACATCAATATTAAATTACAACAAACCACTCGTAGAGCAAAGAAAATATTACTTCGCCAGTGTCATGATTAACTTAAAACACCATGAGCAAAATTTAATTTCTTCAAGATTTTATTATGTACATAGCTGAGAGCACATTAATATTTTATATATATGTTGAACCCACTTAGCAAATCTGCACCAGTGGTCTAGTGGTAGAATAGTACCCTGCCACGGTACAGACCCGGGTTCGATTCCCGGCTGGTGCACGTTTAGTTTTATGTTTTCTTTTTTTGGGTGTGTCCAATCACTTCATAGGGATATGCGAAAAAGATATCAAATGTTGGTACTTGGTGCTTTGGCGTGGAGTTCCGGTGTTGCCCCTCAACCACAAAACCAGACAAAGCCACTTCCCACTTTCGAGACTTTACCATTAATGCCGGAGCCATGTACAGCTCATCATGCCATCCAGTCATCCACCTCATTCACACCTACCGTTCAACTCCGTTCTCACACTATGCACCAACCTGCCAAACCCTTTCTAATTTTCACTATTACTCTTGTATTTATAACCCTCCAAGAATTGACCACCTGCTCCTATCATATCGGAAGAAGAAGAAGAAGAATCCATCATCATGTCCAAGGGAGAGGAAGTGAAGCTTCTGGGTGTATGGGCGAGTCCGTTTGTGATGAGGGCTCGCATTGCTCTGAATATAAAGTCAGTGAGCTATGAGTTCCTTGAAGAGAATTTGGGATCGAAGAGCCAGCTTTTGCTCCAGTCCAATCCTGTTCACAAGAAAGTCCCAGTTCTGATTCATGCAGATAAGCCCGTGTGTGAGTCTCTGATTATTGTTGAGTACGTCGACCAACTCTGGTCTTCTGCTCCTTCTATTCTTCCCTCTCATCCACACGATCGTGCCACTGCTCGTTTCTGGGCTGCCTATCTTGACGACAAGGTATGTATAGATATGCATATCCTTTCTCAGTCTTGTTCAGTGTATATAGCTAGAATACATCAGTTTAATATATGTGTGTTGTATTTACATTATTCAGTTATATACGATTATGTCTGATAGTTTTAACATATCAGGTCCAAGTATAAATGCTTAGTATGACTGCTTAGGACTTTGCTCACAATCTGTTCAATCTTCACTTGTGCAGACTTGTTTCAGTAATGTCACGTAGCTGCTTAGGTTAGGTCCTTGCTCACAAGCACTTGAATTGTTTATTCATGTAGGGTCATGAAGATCTTGTATTGTAAGGGAATAAAAGTAATCTTGTTACTTTCTCATCAAAAAAGTACTCTTATTATTTTATTTTTCATTTTGAAATGTTATTTTCTTAAAATAAAGCAAAATGGTACAAGATCAAACAAACATTTTTAGCTGTGATTTTTTCCCAAGAGAAAATGGTATGCATAGTGAAAAAAATGAACAAGATGAAAATTTAGGCCAATTAAATTAAGCATATATATACTAAAGAGGTTAGGTTTAGTAAAACGAGTTAATATTCTTCATAATATGATGAATTAAGGTTTAAATTTTTATTAGAATTTGGAAAAGATGCTACATTTAATGTTTAATTAATAATGTATTTAACATGTTTACTTTCAATATAAGAATACTTGTAAGTCATGAAAGAAGAAATTAAGCATATCCATTTCAGATATTATTGATTTGGAAACAACTAGTGTGTATATTATTATTAATTAGTATTCAAAGTAAGTGCTATGATAAGATCACTCCATTTGATTGAATACCTCTATCACTTAAATGCCTTAAAAAACAATTATTTTTAGCTTTGACTCACTTTGAAATACCATAAAATATTAAAAGAGACAATTAATTAATCTTTTTATAACACACAATGCATTTGTTAATATGTACATATATGTGCGCGCGCGCTATATATGCAGTGGTACCCTACCTTGAAAAGCATTGCTGGAGCGAAAGGTGAGCAAGAGAGGAAGGTTCGGGTGCAGCAGGTGGAAGAAGGAATAGCGTTACTAGAGGATGCATACAAGAAGATCAGCAAAGGCAAGACCTTCTTCGGCGGCGACCATATCGGATACCTTGATATTGCAATCGGATGCTTCTTAGGGTGGCTCCGGGTGACGGAGACGGTCGCCGGCACAGCGTTGATCGACGAGGACAAGACACCGGGGCTAGCCAAATGGGCTGAAAGGTTTTGTGAAGATGATGCAGTTAAACCTGTCATGCCAGACACAAAGAAGCTTCTTGAGTTCTTTTATGTTCTTCGCGCAAGATTTGGGGGTTCTGCTTGATTCCTATTATATTTTGCTTTGGGTATATTATTGGAAATGTTGAAAATAACGTATGAGAACAATTTTAATTAGTTGAGTGAGTTTGAGTTGCCTTAGCTTTATGCATGTGTGTTAGGTAGGGAAAGTTTAGGCTCACCTAACCCTTTTGACGAACTGTATTGGGGTTTGTTCATCTCAAGTTTATTAACATCCTCGAAGGAAGGGCCGATTGTTCTTAATTATTTGTTCATCACCCTTAACTATTTCAATCGCTGCATGAGTAAGATGTATGTTGGCTGTTCATGAATAATGAACATGTTTCCATTGTCATCTCTCTTGTTAGTTCACTACCCTTTCATCGTGTTATTGGCATGGTATTAAGAGCTAGGCTCATCTTTGGGCCTAAAATATCCGAGTCCAACTGGTAATGGCTGCTCTTGTTTTGTTTTAACACTACAGTCCAACTATGGGATGTCAATCCCTTTCCAGTGACCGTGTGTAATTAGTTTCTGGGACTAGTTTCCCTCTTTTATATCCCAAAAAAAAAAGTAAAAAAAAAAAAAACCACTACAGTCCAACTATCAATAAAAGTTGAGCCTAGCAAAATGTATTAGTATCTCATAATGCAGGGAATAAAGGTTCGAATTCTCACTGATAACACACTCGTATTTAACACCTAACTATATATCAAACATAATTGATTTCAATAAAAAGATATTTATTAGCAATAAAAAAACACCATAGTCCAACTTCAATCTTATTTTCTTGGCTCAATGATATGGTGTTGTTTAGAAAAGTTTTCTTAAGAATGCACATGAGCAAGGTTGAGCTGGACAACACTTCTGCTTAATATAGTTTGAGCTAGCGATGCTTGAGTGTTTGAGCTAGGTTTGGTCCGATTCACTTGAAAAAATTTTACAAATACTTTTTTTGAAGAATATATAAAAATGTTTTTTTGAAAAAAATATTATTATTATTATTTAAAATATACTTTTCATAAAATTAATATTAAAATCAAAAGTAAGATTTTCAAATGTACATATAATCAATAATTGTCAATTATTTTTACATAATATTAAGTTAAAAACAAATTTAAAATTTTGAAAGAGATTTAAAAAACTATAATGATAAAAAATGTCCAAAAAATCATAAAAATAAAATATAATTCATAATAACTTTTAACAAAAATAATATCATGAAATAAATATCATTCACCAAAAAATAAAACAAAAAATGCCAGGCCTCAAGCCAAACCCAAAGTATCCGAATACATCGAGCAGGGTTAGACTAATCAGGCATTCTTGTACCATGTACAACCCTAAATTTTTCGAGCCTTGTGTAGTCGTTTTAGAAACCGCATTTTAGATTCCATATTCAAGCTCAACTCAATTCCATAAAGTTCTTCCCCCCTTTCTTGCTCTTTCTTTTTTCGCCACGCTAATCCATTCCTTTAAAGGTCTTCTCCGCCGTGCAATCTATAATTACTATGTGTGTGTTATCATTCACCAAAAGTCATTTTGTTAAAAACTTATATGATAAAATTTGATTTGATAAAAATTAGTTCTTGTAATGGAATTTATATTTAGATACATTTTTTTCAAATATTAATTTGATAAATTAAAAAACATTTGAATTATATATAATGAAAAGTGATTTTGAATATACAATTATAAATAAGGACATTGATTTTTATTATTTACATTTTTTGTTACATATCTAAATGCTTGATATTAGAAATGTTTGCTGAAAAATGTATGTGAAAAATTTTAAATAACATAAAATTTTATATGTTAAATAATAAGAATAAAAAATATGAAGTTTGATATAGTGGACAAAAATTATAGGACTAAATGGTAATGTGGACCATCAATTAATAATAAATTTTTTTTTGATGCAATATTCTTTTTTCAACATTTTAAAACAATACAATATTATTTTTATTATTAGCAAATATTAACTTTAATTTTTAATTGATCAAAAATTACAGAAAAGACTAAGGAAATTTTCTTCACTTTCCTTTTTTGGATCATTGTCTGTAATTTTGTTCTTCTTTTATGTAATTTTTTAGGTTCTTTTTTTGTTATTTTTAATTAATTAATAATTAAAGTTAATTATTATTAATAATAGGGATGACATTGCATCATTTTCAAAAAATTTTTAAACCATGTACTTTGATTATTACAAAACTAAGAGAAATATGCTTGTTACTTGTGCGGATCAAATATATAATGATGAAGTGATTAAATCTCTAATAGCATGAAAATCAAGAAAAGACTTAGAATTATAGGTTTTATATTTTGTTTCTTTTTTAGATTCAATGTAAAAACTAATGAGAGCTATTCAAGTAACTTAAATTGCAAGAATGCATCCTTTAAATCAAGTCTTAGACTCATAAGTCCTTGGCACTTAAGTGTCAAACTTTTAGAATGCACACCTTTAGTTATTTGCCTGATCCACACAAGTTCTGGCATGGACTCATACATGATCTTGCCATCTCTTTTACATTATAAGACTTAGTGGTTTCAATTCAAGCTTGAGTTTAGATTGCAATTTGCTTGAATTAGACAACAGAAGCATTGCTTGATTTTGTAGGATAATCCATTCATAACCTGAATTGATACCACTCGTGTTTGGGTTAATAGAGAAGGCAAGTGTCTTGGATATGTTTTTGTATTCTAATTCTTGCTTGATTTAAATTTTATCTATGCTTGAATTGTTCCTTAGTGTTAACTTGAAATGTGCTTTAACAATAATACATGTGTGACTCTAGTATGACCCATGCTTGAATGGTTTCCAACACTTAAAAGCTTTGAAGTCTGACTTAGAGATCTTTAAGCCTGAACAAACAAATTCAAACTTGATTTAGAAGTGTCTCAAGCATGTTTTGACTCACAGAAATTACCTGTCTTATCTACGCTCAATCTAGCCTATACCCATACATGTTTGAGCTCAAAGTAGAAGCAAGGAGCTTTTGAACTCTAATATATGCTTAATTCATTATAGCCTCACGCTTGAACTAGATGGAAGCATACCAAATCATTAAGCCTTAAGCCAACCCATGCATGACACCCTTCCAATCCACATGTGAGTAACCTTGTGACAAGTATTTAATGCATTTTGAGGAAAAAGTGCTTTTTCTGGTAAATATCACTTTCACATGTCTTCAACGGCTATAATCTTTACCCTAAGTGTTCCTAATGTCTTCGTTAATGCCAAACTATAAGTAAGACCTTATTTAAATAAGTAGGTAACCTTCATGAACAAATTACCATGTATTAAGTGCCATATTGCTGAAATATTACCATCTTGTATTTTGTCAATGTGAAATTTGCTCTCACTTGGTTTATAGGCCATTAATGTATTATTTACTCTTTTGAAAAAGTTTTTTTAGAGTGTTTAAATTGTTCTTATCTTCTTTCTGAGAGAGAATTCATTAGGAAATACACATTTCACATATTCTTAAGTGAATTAAAGGTTGTGATCCCTTGTCTTTGTATAAAGGAGAAATTTCCTTTGTGAAGGTGATATTTGTTAGGAAGAGATTTCTTTGTGATTAAGAGAGGTGTTCTCTTGTGTGAGATACTTAGTGATGTAGTAAGATACTTGTAGTGATTCACTGGTACCTAAAGTAAACTTAGGGTTTTTATTGTGGTTGCAAGTACCTGTTAAGGCTTGTCATTATAGTAGAAAAATCTTAGAGGTACTATAGAGATTGGACATAAGCCAAGTGGTTGGCCTGAACTAAGATAATCTTCTGTGCAATATTTATATTCCTACACTCTTACATTTAGCTCATTATTATCTTGCACTTTCTTGATTCTTGATTTGGAAACTGTCATTCCTTGCATCCCTTAAACTATATTTTGATCTTCTATGTCAATTTGATTTCAAGTATTTAGAATCTTCTTAAAAGGATTTACAAATCTTTGCAATAGAAGTATTTGTGCTTTATTTAAATTTGTTTTTATAAACTTCTCTTGTTGCACTTTCTTCAATGCTAAACTTTGCAAAAGTTTCCGTTTAGTTTGAAATTTTGCTAAATGCCCAATTCACCTCTTTTTTTTAGTGTTGTCACCTGATCTTACAAAGTTAAATGTAAAGATTATACCAAATATGAGTTTAAGGTCTCGAACACTCCTGAACTTACCTTTAAATCCAAAATTATATAAATAGTTTAATATACATTAATAATGAAAATTAGGTGTAATTTAAAAGGTAGCATGATCAAATATAAAATTAGGTATAGCTTAAGGTCTCAGGAGCCTTTGGGATGTTCTTCTTAGAGGGAGTATTGTGATTTGGAAGAAATACAAAGGTACTCCTTTCATCTCAAATTATATATAAAACAATATTGGAAGAATTTTTATTTAAAAATATAAGATAATTTGATAAAATTAATGTTTCATTGATAATACTTTTTCAATATTATCCTTCAAGTGGAGAAAGAATTAAAATGATATTATAGTATAATGATTAACTGTGTAAGAGCATTTTAAAGAGTTTTATAGTTTTTTTTTTAAAAAAATAAGGTATATTTTATTGATATAAAAAATCTTTTTTACATTTTTTTATAATTTGAAACATACTAAAAAGTATTTGGGAGAACGACACTGAAGGCTCTAAAAAGAAAAATCATTACAATAAAAGTCTGTCAATTTTCATCAGATATTATGTTGAAAAATATGGATGTGTTATTATTTAAAGCTAAATCTTAACTTGTATTTTTTGGTAGAGTTATCTCAAAAATTTAACAAGTTAAAGTTCAACTGTTAACGGTTCTTATTTTTACAGTACAATAATTGATACAAAACGAATAAACTCTTGTTACTGTAATTTTTTTTTTTTAGGTTCTTCAATGCCATTCTCTCAAAGTATTTTCTTCAATTGCTCTATTTATTAATTAGTCCTGCCACAGCCCATTCCCATGCCCTGATTTGATTTCGCGTCGGTGCACATTCACTTTCAGCGGACCCTGCCTTCACACCACGAGGATATACCATGAAAGATCTCAAAAGGTGCCCGGCCTTTCATAATCGGCTATATTGCCATAAGAGTGGCCTTACATATCCCTCACGCCATTGATTATTACAATCAAGGAGTACCCAAGTCCACATAATTAGAACGGTGACATAGACTTCACGAAATCAATCACTACAATTAATGGTAACAAATACTGAATATTGAAAGCCTCGGTGTTTCCCTCTCAACCATGAAACCCGCCAACGGCTCTTCCAGCTTTAGACTCTGCCATTAATGAAGTAGTCAAGCATGCCTCATGCCATGTCATTGTTGTCCTCATTCAGCTAACCATTAACTCCGTTCACACTATGCTGTACAATCCTGCCAAGCCCTTTCTAATTACTTTTCAGTTTCATTCTTGTATTTATAGCATACTCCTCCAAGGACTACCTGCGTCGTCACTGTAACCTAAATCATACCACCATGTCCAAGGGAGAGGAAGTAGTGAAGCTTGTGGGTGCATGGCCAAGCCCCTTTGTGATGAGGGCCCGTATAGCCCTCAATATTAAGTCTGTGAGCTATGACTTCATTCAAGAGACGTTGGGATCCAAGAGCCAACTTCTGCTTCAGTCCAATCCTGTTCACAAGAAAATCCCAGTTCTGATTCATGCAGATAAGCCTGTTTGCGAGTCTCTGATTATTGTTGAGTACGTCGACGAGGTCTGGTCTTCTTCTCCTTCCATTCTTCCCTCTGATCCGTACGATCGTGCCATTGCTCGTTTCTGGGCTGCTTATCTTGACGAGAAGGTACGTATTTTTATTCTTCATCTTATACTCCCTCTAGACCATAATTAAGTGGTTCGTGAAATATTGTGTATTGTGTTTGATTGTGTAGTGGTTCCCTGCAATGAAATCCGTTGGGGGTGCAAAAGGAGATGAACAGAGGAAGGCTCTGATACAGCAATTAGAAGAAGGATTAGCATTAATGGAGAATGCTTATCACAGCATTAGCAAAGGCAAGCCCTTCTTTGGCGGTGACCGGGTCGGGTATCTGGACATTGCGTTCGGGTGCTTCCTCGGGTGGCTGAGGGTCACTGAGGCGCTTCTTGGGCTCAAATTGTTGGACCCGGCCAAGACACCAGGCCTGGCCCAATGGGCCGGAGCATTCTGTGCTGATGATGCTGTCAAGCACGTGATGCCTGAAACTGACAAGCTTCTGGAGTTCGCCAAGCTACTTATGGCGAAAATGGCATCGAACTAGTTGAGTTCGACATTGATGCGTGGCTTATACGATCTCGTGTCTGTCGTTATCCTTAATGACTGAGGCTTTGAGTTTGTCTGCGTGTTGCCTCTTGTAATAAAATTTCGATTAATAACATTTTCTCATGCTGATCTTATTTTACTCGTCCATGTTGGTTGTCTGGTTATAGTTAAATTTAAACTTGGGACGTGCATCTTCTTAAACCAGAAAATAATAAAATGTCTTAAATGAAGCTAAATTAATAAATACAGTTGTATGTGCAATATAGACATAGTGAATTTGTGGTGTGAGTTGCGTGTGTAATGCAAAAGGAGACAAAGAAGGATTAAGAGTTATTCCACCATGCTAATAGTAATAGTTGATTTAACATTAATTTTTAAAAAGTGATGAGATTGTACTGATCGTGAAATATTATATAATAATTTTTTAGGGTCTATAACTTATTCGAGAATATTTATGATTTAAAAATACACTTTAATCTCATTCGTGTATACATATAGTCTTGCTTATGTAATCCCAAACCGCTGGTTGGTCCCCCCGGTGTGACCATTACATCTTTTTGATATCGTGTTTGTTCACATGTTGCTGGCCAATCTATTGTATTAAAATAAAATACGGAGTTCTTACCAAAAATAAAATAAAATAAAGAATTGGGATTTTCTTTCGTTCTTTTCTTATTTCTCTCTTGTATCCTAAGTTTTGTATTCAGATTAATCTAATTGACAGTTTGCTGGCATCTATTCAAAAGCGTGCCTCCCATTGAGAATTGAATTATTATTGCATGCCCAGAATTCAGACTCAAGACTTATAATTAAACTAGATCATCTTCCTAACTGATGCAAGATCTCAATGGTAGAGTTGGGATTTTTTTGTATGTTTTGACATGCACATCATTAGTCAGGGCACGAAAGGGCACATGGATGTTCTTTCTAGGACACACTAAATATAAGATGAAATTAACATAAGACAAAGTTTAAAAGAATTTTTGGTCACAAATATAAGATAAAGTTGGAGTAATTAATGTTTTTTCAGGCTTACCTATTATTTATTTATTGTCATTTGAATTCCTAAATAAAAATTTATTTTGATCATTAAATACAAAGAAAGGTAAAATTAGAAAATTACATATTTTTTGGCAATTTTAAAATTAAAATTATAAGTAACATTTTTTTAATAAGAGCAAAATTTTTTAATCCCGTCTTATATTAATTCCATAGTAGTATGTTCCTCCGCTCTCTATATATAAATAAAACTTTCACGTGATTTCTTATTTTTTTTATAAATAAAACAGTAATTTTTAATAAACATATATGAAGCCTTCCATAAATTGTCTTTCATTGAATCACAATTTATTTTTACAGACAAGAATATTTTAGTTGAGTTCAACAAAATCATTTACTGTAATTATTATTTTAACATGACCCAAAAAAAAAATAAAGCAACAATTAAGAATTAAGATTAAGAATATTTTAAAAAACGAATGTAAGGTGAAGTGTTGAGTTCGCAATTTCGCATACAAAAGACCAAGAAGTGATAATGTCTTTGTAGCGGATCCGAGGAACAATTGAGTCAGCATAGTTGTGAGCTTTCTTACTCTATTCACCTGTACGAATGGATTTAAAAAATAAAAATAAGTTAAATTACTCAACCATCATTTATAATAAATATAATAAAATTTAATATCACATCCTATAAAAGTAGGGCCTGTGCTTCTCACTGTTATGAGATTTGAATTACTCAGATTTGATCTGGCTTATCAAATTTAAAATATTGTTATATTATTTTATTTTTATATTTATCAAGATGAAAATTTGTAAAAATTATAAAATAATTTTAACAAATTTTTTATTTTTAATCTAGTCTAGATTTAATTTTAAAATTTAATTTAATATTAAAATTTTTATAATTATTGTTTATTGACTATCTAGATATACTCTACACAATTCAAATTTAATAAATATAAAATAAAATACTACTTTAAATCTAGATCATTCACATCAAAATCTTGATAATTTAAATCTCATCATACTAATGAGCATTGAAATTAGGCCCATAAATATAAGAATCATTGCACTCATTACAAATTTCATAAATCATAGTTTTAAAATACATGAGCTAAATTACCTTTATTCTTAATAACCAAGGACCACTTATTTCTCTTCCACACCTTAATAGTTATATTTTTATATTTATATATTTTTAATTCATTTCATTCTTTTTCAACCAAATGGCCTTTATTCATTTAATGAGAGATGCAGACCATATAAGCAGGTATTTAATCTTGTCGATAGTGGCGACCATTTTCTGATGAGAAGAGCCATTGTTTATGACTCCCACTGCATTTAATCATTTCGTTGTTTATTTAATCTTATAGCATCGATATAGCCTCAAAAATGACCACGGATAGTTCAAAATTTTAAGAATAGACCTACTAGATCTGCGTCCAAAGCTTCTTATCAACAATGTGTGTGTGTGTGTGTTCTAACAAATGATCGAACCAATTATGTGTCATTAGTTATTAGTTACTACACTATTCTCAAGATTGCTTCTGAAAGAGCGATCTGATGGCGGAAGTGAACTAAATTTTCAAGACAGATTATCGAGCCCTTTTACAATGACGCTGAAGATTGCTCTTAACATCAAATCTCTCGAATACGAATACTCTGAAGATCATAGGGAACCCAAGAGCGATCGTTAGTACAAATTGTGGATTTTACGGGAGATTTTTTACATTAATTGAAAGGTAAACAATGTAAGATGTACAAGTAGTGACATTTTTGTGATATTTGCACTTGAATGCTGGACTTTCTACACGGGGTGCCTATCAACTGATGTAGAAATCAATGATTAAAAAAATAGACCAGATAGTATGATTATTGATCGGTTCAAATTTTAGCTCAGTTAATATGTAAAAACCATTTTAGAGATTGGGCTGTTTTGAATCGATAGTTGGACCGAAAACTAAATTCAATTTTAAAATACCAAACTGTTAAAAAAAATCTTTTTTTAAATTTTTTTAGAAAATGACTAATTTTTTTTAATCATTTAATGTTATGTTGTATCATATGACTTATTAAGTTATAATAAACTTAAAATATTTAGTTTTATTTTTAAATTAAGTAGCAATTTTATATTTATTTCTTATATTTAGATTATTATATATATATATATAATTTTTAATTTAATTATTATGTTATCGGTTTGACCATTGATCCAAGCCAGTTGAATTATACAAACCATAAACCACTGACCTTCTTGGTTCTATATCCAATTTGATTCTGAAAACATTGATAGAAAGTGCACTTTCTACATTGAGTACTTCACACTCGTTGTAAAAATTGTACATTAAATTTTAAAAAAAATAAAAAAAATAGTTACTTTTTACCAAGGTCTTTAAACCGAGACTAGACCAAACGATTGAATCGGTTTGGCCATTACTCGCTTTGTTGAATGGCTTGGTTTGCTTGAATGGACTGTCTGAATAGTTGAGCCAGCTTAAACCATCCAAAACTAGCGGTTGAGCTGAAATTTGGGATTAAGTTGGGAACTGGAGCGGCTAGAAATGAACTGTTGTTGTCTCCTCTTTTTTGTATAGCCAGATATGAAATTTATGAAAAAAAAAATAAGAGGAGAAATAGAAAGAAGAAGAGAGGGCAGAAACATGGAGATAGGAGTGTGTTCATCATCAAGTATTACCGCAAGTGTATAGGTCATCACAAGTATAAAATATTTCAGAGTTATCATTCTTATGAGGATTTAAGCAAAAAAAAAAGTTAAAAATTTACCATTAAACTTTGAGTTAGGTTGGGAAAAATCAAGAGTAGGTTTGTGTGAAAGTAATAAAAATTAGATTAAGTGGTAATTTAGAACAAAATTAGCTAATACTATGAATTCATGAGACAAGAATTTAGGATTATCTTTCCCTTTTATATTTCATAAGACTCTAATTATTTCCTCTCAAAATGACTTGTAATGAAAACAAATGTTAGTCTAAGATATTATTTTTTTTAAAGCTTTCTCAAATCAAAATCAAATATATTTGCCAATACTAGCATTTCGTAATCTCTTAGAAATGATTAGTGAAAATAATGTTTAAGTTCGAACCTTAATGTGACTGTAAAGAGTTTATAAAATATTTTTATTTTACTAACAAACCATCCATTTATTATCTTTGAAAACTTTAAGTCCAACACCGTTCTATCTAAGTTTTACACCTAAGTTGGCTTTCTCAAATACAACCTAAGTGAACACAATAATCTAAATAGTGATCAAACATTTAGAAGCATCAAGCAAAGAATAAAATAAATACATATATACATTACCACCAAAAAAGAGGAGTAATCAAGTTTTAATCCATACAAAGATTTGAAATAATCCTAAAACAAGAAAACTAGCTAGATATGTTCAAAAAGGAGCAACAAATAATAACTTGTTCAACACCCATATCAAAAACACAAAGAGAAAAGGAAAGTGAAGTAGAAAAATCAAAGGAAATTCACTTGAATTTCTTCAAATCTTCAATTCTTAGCCAAATCTCCTTCAAAAACTATAAACCCTAGTATAGCAAGTTTCAAGGAACCTCTGGACTTTGTGGTTCTTTGTTTGGAGGCATGGTTATGGCTTATGTAGCCTTAATTCTTGTATTCTGCAACTTAAAATGTATAGTAAAATTTAAGCCATGTGTCATAGAGTGTTGTTCTTGCATTGTGACGCATGTGCAAAAATGTGGGCATCCACCGTAGCGTGTTGTCATTGTGCTGTGACTCCTGTGCATCTTTAGAAAGTCTATTTCTATGTCACATGTCGTGACGCATTGTACATACATTACAATCCATTGCACAAAGCATTCAATTTTCATTTCGGGCCCATTGTGCATGCATCTTCAAACATCATTTGACTTCTTATCGTTACAATTACTTGAAAGAAATCACTTGAAACAATAAATACAGTTATGAGATTTTTCAAAGTTTAAAATCAAGGCAAGATTCTTCACAAAAATTGCCAATAAATTTTATTTTCAAGGTTAACTTCAGCTAAAGCTCAATTTTCTATATCTAACTCAAAATATTTACAATTGAACCAATTCATCAAAAAAAGTATAAGAAAATGTGTTAAACTGGCGTCAATTTCAATATG